TCCACCCGTCAGCGCTGGCACGTCACCCAGCGCTGCTTCGGGATATTTTTTCTGTGGTCCTCCTTGTAGCACCGTGAACGGTTGGGAGATAGACGGCTCTACCATCCGGGTGAGGGTCCATCCTATCCATCCCGGTTACGGCGCCGATCGGATCAGGGATATTAAAGCTTGAGTCCGGAACGGTTTCACGGCGCGGCGCGGGCGGCGGTACTGCGCCTCCCGTTTCGGTAACTGTCGTGGCATCGTGGCCAGACGGATGGCCACGGCGGAGCTAATAGCTCCCTTTAGAGCCAATGCGGTCGGAGATTAGTCCTCCTCCGCGGCGAGCGCTGCCACTACCTCGTCGCGTACGAGGGGGGCGATCTTCTCGTCCAACAGGGCGCGGAGCGCGGTGTCCGCGTGCCCCGCCACTAGTCTTGGTGCCGTTTGGTCGACGCAAACCTGGACGACCTGAGGTAATTCCTCAGCGAGGAAATCCTCCATCCAGGTTTGTAGTCGCCGTAGTAACGCGTCGTAGAGTACTTGTACGCGGTTCCCCCCACCAGCCGGTAACCCAGCGATGGTGTCCGAAGCAGAAGGGGTCTTCTGGACCCTGGTAGACGGTGGGAGTGGCAGGGCTTCCGGGTTGTCGATCCGGGGGCGCTGTGCGCCTCTGCCACTACGGGTGCTTGCTCGCCCGGAGGCGGTGTCTTCTCCGGCGGAATCCGCATGGCTCATCGTCAATGATCACTGGCGATCGACGCAGTGATTTTCGACCTCTTTTAATTCGTTCGGTAATTTCTCGCGTTGGCGATTCAGTTCGTGCTCAATCTCTGTAGTTATACCCTCCACAAGAGCACCAAAATGTGGTATAACTACCTTCGTCCCAACTACTCGGAAACGAGGGGGGTTAGAGGTAAGGGAGTGCGCGCCGCTGGGTTACCCACGCGCGAACGCAAACCGTACGGATGGACTCGAAAAGAGGGAAGGCTCACGTGGCCGGTGACGCGCAGCCAGACGGTGATGTTCTAACCGGACGGCCGGTCACGGGTTAGAAGCCTGAGACTAAAAGGGAAACCGGAACGGGATGGCAATTAGCCGTAAAGGGAAGGGAGGCGAGTCTGCCTCCTCTTTCCTGGGGCGGGCAGGTGTCCCCGGTCTGATCCCCTCAGTGGGACGCCAGGACACCTGTCCCGCTACAGTAGCTGCCACTTACTGTGTACCAGCTACTGTACACAATCACCAAATTTGTGCCGTTAACTACTACTTACTAGTTAGCCACCATACGGATTATATACGTGTGCCCGTGGCCACGATCCCGGCCGACGGTTGTACCACGTGTTACCAGTGGCCACGCCCGCTGTTACCGGGTGTCCCACGACAGACCCTTGGGGCACTACTGTACACGGCGGCGGACGCGTGTACGCCCGCTTGCTACAGTAGCACCCGTCCTCCCGCGCAGTTATCATCTCCCCGGGGTGGTCGTGGTACGGAATTGTACTACTGTCTGCAAAGAGATTATTTCGACGGCTCTGTCGCGAACCCTAGCGTCGAAAATAGAACAATTGTCCTCCTTCTTGGATGAAGAGATCTGCCCGACACTTTCGGCGCCGTTCTTGTTAGGCTTCGGCTTTTTGGCACGGTAAACTTACAACAATTTCTTCTTTCGGGATACGGGCGTATTCGGGTATTCATTCATGAAATGCCTATCACCACAATCTGGGTTTAAGCAATGAGGCCGATTCCTCTTTTTAGAAATCCCCCCACCGTTGGATTGAAGATCCTTGGCATTATCTCTTCCAGATGGATGGCGTTCTTTACGTTTGTGGTGACGACGGCTGTCGGTTTTTTTTTCAGAATCCTTAATGTTGCGATCAGAATCAGAGTCGTTGTCGTGATAGGCGCTGGCGGAGGCTGCGCTGGGACGATCGAAGGCTCTTGCCTCCTTGCCAAGCTCGTGCATGAACACCTAATAGTTGCCCTTGAACTCTTCCTTTCGGAGTTTATATTGTCGTACGCTTGGTCAGCTCCTCACGAGTGATACTCTCCGGAACGCGTTAAACAACCAACGTGGGCTGTAATTCGATGAAGGTGGAGTGATCTTAGTTCTCAAGGGTAGTTGCGTAGCGTAGTCCGAGTTTCCAGACTTCCATCTCCAGATTCTTCGGTTGACCTGACTCAACATCCTTAATACCGCGTTCTATCTGCGCCAAGTCGCAATCTTCAGGTTTGACATTGGCACGCTCATCAACACCATTTTTGAGGTGTGCTTCGGTAATTTCGTTGACAGTACTCACGGGGACCCATTGAGTTGTAACGAAAATTTATAACACGGACTTTCCTTGAAGTTTCAATAGGACGTAGTCGGAATTTCGATCCTCTGTTTAACGCTCTTCTCCTGCACACGTCGCTCGCAGATTGTGCGTTTCTGTTTGAATGCCACGAAATCGGCACTCGCAATATCAATAAGCCTAGGCGCTTCGAGCGTCTTGACGATGGTCTGACGCACTGTAGAGCCATCATGAGCATTAGTGGACGTAGTCCTCCTTGTAGCCCACGGGGGCATCTTGGTAAGTGCCTCACACGCGCTGACACTAATGAGTACTTCGCGAAGAGAGTAATTACTGTACCACCTAGTTGATTTCAGGCGGGCACGGTCGAGGGGCAAAGAGGCGATGTTGATCTGCATCGGAAGTCCTCCGGGAGAACGCTGCCATTACTGTGCCAGGTAGGCGATAAAAAGGTTGCGCCTCTTGCCGGTCGCGAGGTCGCTGAGGTGAACGCAGGTTGCGATCTCACCCTGGAGGTCGCACATTGCGAGCTCCCCGTCCGTGACAAAAAATATTGAGTCAATGTAATTTCCATAGGTTACCAATTTCTATGCATACGCAGATAGCACACATGCAGGCGGAGGCGTTCCGGACGGAAAAGGCTAGTTATGATCCCATGTGCCACCTAGGCTGGTGCGCTTGTGCTCAATGCGCAGGGTTCTACAGTTGGTCGTCTGGCTGCTACAGAAATGGAATACATATCATGGGCTTACGCTCGAGACTGATTTGTGTGGTATCACAGCCCAGATTTGTAATTTGTACAGCACCCGCTGCCGCGGGTTCATTACAGACACGCGACTACAAGTGTGCGTTACAGGCGGACGAACTACACGCGCGCCTTACAGGCGGACGAACTACGCGTGGGCATTACTGGCGGACGAACTACACGTCTGCCTTACAGGCGAACGAACTACACGTGGGCATTACAAGCCGACGACGTACTGTATACATTACAGCCCGGTGGTTGTATATGACAAAGTACAGTAGTAATGGCATAGTACAGTGCATTGCACAATAGAGTGCAGTAGTATAGTAGGATGGACAATGTACGAGACCCCGCGACCTCGCTTATTTAAGCGACGGCGCCAGGCAATGACAGTAAACAGTCAATGATCTTTTGGGAACGGATTTCCTTCGAAAGTGCGACACCGCGGGTCAAGACAAGCCTCTGACTTGAGCGACATTGTCAGCATCTGTCTTGAGACGTTTACCTGGATCCATTGCCTTTAACATTTCCTTCTCCTTTCCTCCGTCGTTGCGACTACGCGGGTTAAGACTAGCCTCTAATACCTCGGCGTATTACTGTCGCTCGACGTTTCTATTGTTTTCTCTTTTCCTTCGGTCGTTGCGACTACGCAGGATAAGACTAGCCTCTAACCTCGTCGTATTACCTGTCGTACGACCCATTTCTCTCTCCCTATATTTTGACGATTGTCAGGCCGCGGGCTACGACAAGCCTCTAGCCTTGGCGGCACTACTGACATCTGTCCCGCTTGTTCACTCTAGCAGTTCCCGCTACTCGGCGCTACACCCGTTTCTGACACTAGTCTCTATGTTCGGGTTCCCCCCTGTTTTGTGTGCTCTTACACCACCGCTTCCAGTGCTGGTCCCATTCCGGGTCCGCACCTTGACCAGTACGTCGTGCTTTTACAGTCGGCAGACGTACTTCCACTTTGCTCTACCACAGTCCCAATCTACCGCGGGAAACCCCGTATTGGTTGTTACCTTTTCCTCGAGCTAGCTCATAGCTGGCGACCGCCACTATACTACAATTAGTAATTTCAGATCGCGGCTGAGTTGTCCACATTACCTCCGTCAGGTCGCGACACGAATCTTTCGAGCCGTACCATGCCTGATGCTTGAAGACTGCGACGGAGGAAGCGACTTTCCCCGCGAAAAAAACAAAACCCCCTGTGGATAGGTCTCCAATGGAATGCGTTTGAAAGAATATAAAAAGAAATCCAAAATTTGCGCAGACGAGGTTCACTGTGCTCATTTTGGTCCAGGCCTGGCTTCTCAGATTTAAAATTGTAGAGTACCTTGCTATCTTGCACAGTAGACCTCCCACGCACATCCGCGATTGCTTAGCATATATTCTGATAATTGCAAAATAGCAGGGGTAAAAATAGAACGGACCAAGTAATATAGAAATGACAATATACATCTGTGGAACTAATCAAAGCACGATTTTTCAGGAGATTTCGTACATCAAAGATCCTTTCTCGACAGCAAGCCTTTTGTACAATAAAAGACAACCACGCTCATTTGGGCGGGCTTTTCAAAAAACGCGCTGTATTTGGGCAATACCTCGATGTCGACCCGTAGACGCATTGCGTCATCTCACCATACAGTTGAAAATGCACATTGCCGACCCTTCAAATCCACACCAGCTCCCCAACGGCGGCTCCTTTGCCCCCCTTCGCCGTCCTCCTCGGCCGCCTTCCCACCCATCCCCCCGCAATCATCCCCGCCGTTCCCCTCCTCCTTGCACCCACGCGCGCCCACTGCAACTCCGGGCACACCTCGTTCTCTCTTGTTAACGCTTTTACAGTGCCCCGATCGCACACCAGCCGCACCTTCCCCTACGAGGCACTGTACTGCCTTCTACTGGTTGTAAGAAAAGCACAGATCGCTCCTCGTGCTACGAATTCTACTTTAAGCGCCTTGCCCCGCCTCATCACGGACTCCGGCATGCAGAATATTTCGGCCACCGAGGCCACCGCCGGTATCCAGATCCTCGCCGACACAGCCCTCCGCCGCGATGAAGCATTTTCTCGATATGAGACTACACCTTTCAATGACAGCCCTGACGAAAAATGCGACTCTCCGTCCCGCATTCTCGACACATTCTACCAGAGTGGGGGGTCTGCGTCAATCGTCCAAATAACAAACTTTAATATTCGGCAATTTCAAAGCATTTGGAGGACGTTCGCGGATTTTATAACGTCAAAATTCAATGTCGGGCGTGGACACAAATCCCCGTTTACGGGCAAAGACGTTTTCTTCATGGTGATTACGGTCCTCAAGCACGGCGGTAATTGGGACCTCCTAGGGCGTATTTTAAGATCAAAGGGCCAACGTTCGAGCGTCTTATAATGAAATTCATCCGTCTAATAACGGATGAGTTCTATCGTCAGTTTGTAGTCCAGACGATGGAGCATCACAGCATGACTGTATTGGAAGAGAAAGCGAAAAACTGTAGCAATTTCAGGTATGCGGTGTACGCAACTGCGGTGTACGCAACCGATGTGACGTTTCAACATACGAATCGGCCATCGGGAAATCATGAGGAATCTAAAAAATATTTTTCGGGGAAGCTCAAATTATATGTTTACAAAGTAGAGGTTTCGGTCTTACCGACCGGGTTTGAGATTGATTCTACACAACATTATCCGGGGTCCTACTCGGACAGCGATATTATGCACCGCAACAAGACTTTTCACAACACGCCCTTGCGAAAGTGTGAGGGAGAGGGGCAAATGACAGATGGTGGACTTTATTCTGAGCAGTTTCCGGAGCATTGGTGCCTTATTGCAGACAAAAGTTATCAGGGGGCAATGGAATTTGTGCGCGCCGTTACACCCCACAAGCGTCCTGCCCGTGGGATATTGTCTTTCCAGGAGGAATCTTTTAACCGCAAACTATCTTCGGATAGAATCATAGTGGAAATTTTTTTTGGACGTTTATGCTCGCTTTGAGGAGTGGTTGGGAGCAAGTATCGGTGGAGTGAAGCCAATTATGATCCCATTTTTAGGCTCTGCCTAGCGCTGACAAACGCGCATGTTGGTGTCGGTCTGCGTTGTGACGATTTGGACTTCTATCAGCGATTCAAAAATCGCAACTACAGTATCGGGGGTGAGCTTTTAGAGAAGCGCAAATTGCGGCAAGAACGCTACTGTCGCAGGCGTCGACAAAAGATGGATACAGTCGACCCTACGCATTAGTGCCGCCCTGTGTAGGGACTAATAATACGGCACTAATTCGGAGCGGCACTATCAGAAAGCAGAATCACTACCCGGCCAGAACTCTGTTATTAGAGTCTGCTGTTGTTGCCTTTGACCCTGTCTCTCATGCCTAGCTTCTAGAAAAGCTCGTTTTGCGGAGCGGACCTCAAGTACGATAAGGCATTGCTCACATCGCACTGCACACCCAGACTCTCCAAAGACCCAAACAACCTTGCTAACACTACAGCACTCGGTACGGCCCGCCTCTCCGTAATTTCACACTCGCCTTCTGCCACACAATCATCCATCATAGCATCACTGGCAGACTGGTTCTGTAGCTCTCCACCATGATGTATTGAATCGCAAGCATCACTAATAGAAGCTTCTGCCACAAGCTCATTTGTCTCGATCTCAATCCATTCCTCCACATCACAGAGTGCAAAGTCTTTGTTCCGAGCGTTGTAGCGGTGTTGGTCACAATTTGTTGGAGTGAAGGAAGAGATCGTTTGATGTTTCGGATGGTTCGCCCTGAAATTTTGAACTGACGCATAACTGTGGTATTCGCATTCCCGACCTGCAGCAGATGCCCAACCTCGATTTTCTGTGCAATCGTAAAGCGCGTACGCTTCGCTTTGGCGATCTTTTCAGGAGTCATGTTGGGGTCTTTGAGTGAGGTGCCATCACGTCACCAATTGAGCTGACGCGCATGAGGAGTGGCCGATGACGACGTCGTGCATGACACGTGGGAGAACCTGTGTCTGCCGGTTTTGGCGGCACTAATTCGAGGGCGGCAATAATGAAAGCGGCACTATTGCGCGTCCCCCTCTGTACCAGGTTTCGCAGCATGATTGGTTCTGACGCAGACACTCAGTCTCCGTGATTGGTGCTCTAGGATATTTGTTGTTGCGAACTATTTTTGAAATGAAATAGGTGTTCGGTAATTACAGATATGTCGGAAAACAATAAATTTCTATTGCAATACCAAAGCCTTTGGCCTAATCATTTTATGAGCACTTTGACGGGCGTCGTTTGAAATGTCTAGACAATTGTGCACCGAAAGGTCTTTGCGCAATAGCTCGATAATTGTGGCTGAGCTCTAGTACAAGCATTATTACCAGGAAGTCTGCGATTGCCATAGGCAAACTCTCAACGCGCTCTACGACAACGAGCACAAAAGATTTTATTGGAAAATATCACAAGCGCGACGGAAAGAGCACACAAGATTGCTTCCAGGATTGGAAGAGATGTTTCGCAGAGAACAGCCTATCTACGAGTCGTCCAGAGAGCACTGTGAAAGGGATTTGGTCAATGAGGTGCAACTTCTCACCTTTGATGTGAGCCATCGATATGTTTTGCTTGTGGAAAACGGTCCTGATGAATGGAGGCTTCCGGGATTTCTTTCTGACAAAGTAGATGCCACCCCGATACCGGGTATGTGCAGCACTGCTAAGACAGTCGTTGGTATAGACTTTCCGTTCAATGTTCATCGACAGTACCACACTGTCCTGAGGTAGGAGTTGCTATCTTGATATTCTTGTCGTTTCCGCCCTTTCCCACTCGTATGCCAACATTCTTCTTCTGCCTACATCATGAACATGGTGGCCTTGATGTGCAAAGTCTGCGGTCGCATTGAGCCATTGGAGAATCTTTCTACGCGCACTGGGACAGAGAAAAAGAAAGATCATGTGAAGAAATATCACAAGACCGACGGAAAGAAGGCCACCGACTGCTAGGATTGGAAGAGATGTCCATCTACAGCGAACAGCCTATCGACGAGTCGTCCAGAGCACGCTGTGAAAGAGATCTGGTCAATGAGGTGCTACTTCTCACCTTTGACGTGATCGGCGTCGGCGGCATTCGTTCCGTCAGTCTTGTGATATTTCCGCACATGATTTTCTACTGCTGTGTCGCAGCGCGCGTAGAAGACTGACTTTCCAATGGCACAGTGCGACCGAAGACTTTGCACATCACGGCCATCGTGCTCTGTCTGCTACGAATCCGGTGACAGCGGTGCAGTGTGCGTATGTCCCGTTATCAGAAGATGGATTAGCGTTTCATAAAGCCGGGTGATGCATGCAGAACGGGAACCGAACACTTCCATGCCTCTACTGTCGTCCTAACCATGATGCTCCCCCCAAAACTTTCGCACTTTCTTTTGTGCTCATTATGAAGCGCATACAGCTGATGCCAACTTCAGAGCCGCTCGTCACAGACTACAACGTCGTGCACGTTGACTCAGCCCAAAAATATGTGGTCACCCTTTCCTTCTTCGGTCATAACAGCAAGAAACAAACACTTTCCTCTAGGCACTGAAGGGCGTCTTCTCGTAGAGCACCGTCTTCCGCTTCCCTAGCCATGTCCAAGTATCTATATGCTCGCACGAGCGACGCAAGATCGGATACTTTCTTCGTCAACCTAAACAATCCGTCAATGTCATCTATGTCCATTTCTTGTGCATAGACCTCCAGCAACTCCCGGTTGCACCGGTGCACATCAAACAAAGGATGGCTTTCGAAAGAGTTTGTCAAAGTCAAAAACCAGAACCCTGGACCCTCATCGGCGCTCTTCCTGGTTAGGTTCCCTTCCAACGTGTCATTACGTATCAAACAGGTAGGCATTTCCAAATCAATAAGTTCCGTCAGATCATTTTGCAGCTTCACCTTGACGCTCGACAGTTTCTGCCTTGCTTCCGTTTCTAGCACGGACAAAAGCTCCTTACACTAAAAAAGTGAGTTCAAGTTCTCACGCATCCACAGCGGTGAATAATATGGTAGTCCGGCCTCCAACAAATCAGGCAACACCTTTGCGCTTGCGCGGTGCAGACGCGCCAGATCTCTTACGCCCTGTTTACACGCTTCGTATTTCAATCCACAGAAGCCAGTCTCGTCATCGTGTTCCACAAGGATCATTTGACGACGTTCTACGTCTGCAAAACAACGGCTTGGCGACAAGATCAGGAGCAACGCTTGACATTATTGACGTGACTCCAGCATCGTTCGACGTGGATGGGCTGCATTTTAGGTAGTAATCACTCTAATTCGTCTTGATACTTAGCACGGCTCCTCTGTATGACGCATGGATCTGAACCAATTCCCCCATCACGTGCAAATTGTGTCCATGCAATATTTCGCGCACTTTTCGAAGCGTTTCTTGATACCATCCAACCGAGGCCCAAGGCACCCGTCGAGGCGGCGAAACGTTGGCTGCGGTCTGTTCCGGTTCTCGCCGAATGGCTTGCTCTGCTCTTTTCTCCGAGTGCGAGACATGAACGACACCCGCTCCGTGATCTTTGGTGATGGCCACCCAACTGAATCCAGAAGGCACTCGTTGAGATTTCTCAAGGCACCCAACAACAAGAATAGTTCGGATTCCCGCGTCTAAACGATCAGGGGTTTCAACGGACCACTCCTCAAAGTGACAATGTCGAAGAACAAGAAACGGAAAGTCTATGACAATGACTCTCTTAGCAGCGCTGCACACACCCAGTATCGGGGTGGCATCTACTTTGTCACAAAGAAATCCCGGAAGCCTCCATTCATCGGGACCGTTTGCCTCAAGCAAAACATATCGATGGCTCACGTCAAAGGTGAGAAATTGCACCTCATTGACCAAATCCCTTTCACGGCGTGCTCTAGACGACTCGCAGATAGGCTGTTATCTGCGAAACATCTCTTCCAATCCTGGAAGCAGTCTTGTGTGCTCTTTCCGTCGCGCTTGTGATATTTTCCAATTACATCATTTGTGCTCGTTGTCGTAGAGCGCGTTGAGAGTTTGCCCTAAGGCGATCGCAGATTATCGCAGACCTTCTGGTAGTAATGCTTGGACAGGCTGTACAAGATAGCAAGAGACCCTACCATTTGAAAACTGACAAGTAAGGCCTGGACCAAAATGAGCACAGTGGTGCTCGTCTGCGCAAAATAAGGTGAATCAGGGATAGGGTGGGGCAAGTGTAAAAATTGATATACAGTGTATGTCCTCAATAGTGCAGTTGTGAGTAGTGCAAACCGCCAATAGTGCAGGTCAAAACCGCTTGTCACGACTTTTGACACGTGTATGCATCTTAGAAAAGCAAGGCGTGCATTGCTGCAAGCGTACAATATCACGCTCAATAGAGAACAAAAGTTGGACAATCAATTGCGACGGGTTTTTTAAAATAAAACCACGTTGTAAAAGTGATTTGCGAGATCCTCCCCTTGAGTATTGCAATACGCCAATAGTACGCCAATAGTGCAGTATTCGACCGCGTGGCACGGTACTGCACTAATTGATATATACGCCCTCGGTACAAGAGACATGCAACAGACCATGCCTGCTCGTACAAGTGTCAAGCTTGATCCTTGCCCCTGCCCGCCAAGCAGATTGGAGCTGCTCCGTCAAATTTTGTCATAATATCAACTATCTCATTGGCTCGCACGTTTCTGACTTGGCGATACTGTATGGCAAAAATGGCAATTCTCGAATGCACTCAATAATGAAGCACAGCTGTAAAGAAAATATTAAAACAAATTATATTATAACAAATCGAGCTTCTCCTTCTCCGCAGCTTCTCTCCCCACCCGACACCGTCCTCCTCCCCGCGCTCATTGCCCAACCCCCCCTCCTCCCCCAACTCCTCATCCGCAATGCCGCCATGTCCACCCCCCTCCGCCTCACGTACATACACCTCCTCCTCCTCCTTCCCCCCCAAGCTCTCTGCTCCCCTCCCCCGAAATACCACACATCCTCCGCCCTCCTCTCCGCTCTACAATCCGCGGCGCTCCTGCCCGCGCGGCCTCGCGGAGGGGGCGTCCCTGACGCCCACCTCCTCGCATTTGCTGGTGACAACGCTGTCCCACAACCCGCGCCACCTGCCGCCCTCGGCGCTCGTATGTCACATTGCCACAGCGAACTGTGCCTTTCGCAACGCGTTTGCGCTCTTCCTCTCGCAACACGTCCATGTACGCCCCATGTACGCCCCTTGCAATGTTCGGTGTGCTTTTCACCCAACACGCGCTCCCATTCCCTGCCACATCTCTCAAACGACACCTTTCCTCTCTCCGGTCTCCCGACGCCTTTCTCCCCTCGCAAACCTATTCGCAATCTCACAAAGGCGTCTTCTTCGGCACCCCCGGCAACCTCGGAAACGCCCGTGGCGTTGCCTTCACCTTTCCTACGGCCACAATACACTTTTCCTTCCGTCAACCTCTTCCGCCTCTTACCCCTGCCCCTCCATCCACTCCCACGGCCACGCCTCGCGCACATCTTCCAGCTTCCCGCCCAGCCTTCTGATGGCCTCCTTCGCGGCGGCCACCTCCTCAGAGCCCGCGCCCACCCTCTTTTGCGTGAAAAACGCGCCCCCCACCTTTGCCAGCGGCACACACAGTTCGAGGCAAACCCGCATTTCCGCCAACGACCGTGCCACGATCTAGTCATACCGCCCCCAATGCATCTTACTCTGACCGACCTCCTCTGCCCTCCCCCACACGGACGTGATGTTGTACAGGGCCAGTTCGCGCTCCACGATGTCGTGGAAGCGCGTCTTCTTGCGCGCGGCCTCGAGCAGCGTGACGTTCCACTGCGGCCTCGCGATGGCCAGGACGAGGCCCGGGAACCCCGCGCCCGTGCCGACATCGACGACGCGCAGCCCGGTGGCAGCAGCCGCGGCCTCCGCGACCAGCGCCGGTAGCAGGCTAAGCGCATCCACGACGTGCTTGAGCAGCACGGCATCGCGCGTGCGGATCGCCATGAGGTTGTACTGCTTGCTCTCGCTCAGCAGCAGATCCGTGAGCCGCATGAGGGTGTTGAGCCGCGCCACGTCCAGGCCCTGTGAGTGGGCGGCGCGGCGCAGCACCGCGTGCGTGGGGGTGATGTTTTGCTTCGTCCCGCAGCCGCGCAGCGCCACGCGCCGCAGCGGCCGCGCCCCGGCATGCGGATCGCAGTACGTGACGCGCGCGCCGAGTCGGCGGCGAGACGGCGAAAGCGATGCGGCAGGCGGTGAGCCATGGAGCCATGCAGACGAAGCTGTCGGAGGCCGACTGAGGGATGGGCTAAACTGGGCGACCGATACATACTGTAGATTCGGGTAAGGAAAGTCGGCTACTCTGCCTTTAATGGAAACCGAGTATCGTTATGTCTGTAGCGTACAGATGAGTGTTTTCGATTAACATCGAGTCGACGTTGGCCACCGGTGTCGGAGACTCGCCTGCAACTCTGCCGTCCCGCTCCGTCGTCCTCCCTTTTGCCTGTCGTCCTCTCCGGCAGAAGGAGAAGGCCATCGCGGCGATGACGAATGCACTACTGTACACGTGTTACTGTTGTCATATATAATAATACAATATTTGTACTTTTCAGTCTCTCGGTGCCCCTCGGAACTGCGCTCTGGGGGGTTGCCGTCTACCAGTAATATTGCGCCAAGTAGTTGGCTGGCCCATTCTCTATGGAGATAATGTTGCGTTTAGGGGGGCGATCAGGTGCATTTTGGTGGCAACAGACGGGTGAAATCGGAAAAGTTGTAGCAAACAAGTGGTGACGGTGGTAACTTTGAAAGAGGTACCCATCCGATAGCGGTTTATTTGCTGCTGTTTTTCCTACTTTCGCCCCGCTCTTGCAACAACAATTCATGATTCGGACCCTGTTCACAACAGAAAAGTGAATTTCACCCGTCTGTTGCCACCAAAATGCACCTGATCGCCCCCCTAAACGCAAAATCTCCCTAACCTTTATTGTTTCCCCCTTTTCTTTTCTTTTTTGCGACAGGCGCCCCTAATGCGTAGGGTCTCCTGTACTCAGGGCCGTTCCTAACGAAGAGTTCGCGGTGCCAGCACCCGAGCACCCGGACATTTGGCATGAATGGATTGGTTGAACGGGAGTAAAATCATTTCCAATAATTTTTTCAACCAATACATTCATGCCAAGTTTCAGGGTGCTCGGGTGCTGGCACCCCGAACTCTTCGTTAGGAACGGCCCTCACAGTAGACGGACGGACGGCAGCGTAACACCCGGAGCCGTATGACACGTGGCATTATTTGTGTTTGTGCGTCTGGGTATGCACTAGTGGGAGGGTGGTACAAACAAAAGCAGCACTAATGCGAGTCTCATTGTCACGTGTTTCGCAATGATGCAATGCGATTTATTATGCCTGGAGACTGTAATTTTCTCCTTTGTTATTCTTCTCACCAGCAGACCCTTTCTCTCTCTGTAACAGGCTTCTTATCTCGTCGGCAGGCTCGTCGGCAGGCACTCGTGTCTATTGGACGGACGTTTTTGATCATGAGGATTTTTCCTGTTTGTCAGAGCATTAGAAAGACCCTCCTAAATACCGTGCATTCTAGTGTCTAGCCGACAATTTTCCTCATTTGAGATTGAGGTTCAACTTATTTTATTATTTTTATGAGGTCAAATGGCCTCATTTGAGGTCACTTGTCGGCTAGACACTAGGTGCCTTCAATGGACTTGGACATTGTTTTTTACTCTTACTGTTACTGTTTCGCGGTAACTATGGCTTTCAGTTCTCCCTCTTTGCGCCAGAAACGGCGCGGCAAAAAAGCCTCATATGAGGCGAAATCCTCAAATGAGGCGCATTGTCCAATAGACACTAGCACCAACTGTGGCAAGTGCGTAGCTTCAAGGTCAACCCTGAAGCTACGCACTTTCCACAAGCTTGAGGTCGCCTGCAACCTCTGTGCGTGGCCTTTACTCCCTATTTTGCTTTCGGCAATTCTCAGTTCTACATTATATCGCAGCTTAATGTCGGCGAGATCGTCATCCAAACGAAAGGAAAGCACATCGGGCGGGGTCCATGCACTGCGTAAGAGACAACTCAAAGAAACGGCCGACTACTGCGCGAAGGACACTCCGCACACGCATCCTTTCACTATATTCAATAGACAGGATGAGTGCAGTTTGTGACACTCCTAACCACAATCACAAGGCAAGCGCCCACGTTGCGGCGACCTGCAAGAAGACACCTGCATGCAAAAATATTATCCGGATCATGTGCCCTCTGTGCCACGTGCAGTGCAAGAGTTGTTCATGTAACAATCCCATAAAGGCCGCCGACAACGCCCGGCCTCTTACAGACCGTATGCAAAATAAGTCCTAGAAATGAAACAATCATCGGTCCACTGGGTAACGATTCTATGCTGAACGTCTTCGTCTTCTGTTCTGTGGGTACTCATGTTAGCTGTTCATAGTTCGTAATGAATCTACACTCACACCTTTTTTTGTTCTGATGTACTCATGTGAGTACACTCATGTGAACATGAGTTCTTTTGACACACACAGTACCAATCGATCAGCATATTAGTAAACCTGCTTCGCGCCTATAGTCTACTTGCCGTTCAAGGTACAGTAGAACGTGTAGCAGGAACCCTCGCGTCAGCGATGCTCCAAACCGTGCGACAATGTCCCCTTGCCGAATGCATTCTAATGTACCGATCACTTTTGGGAGCCAGCCCAGGACCTTTGCTAATTCGTAGGCCTCTTGGCATCTTGTAATGTTTTCAAATCCGTCCCACTTCTTCAGATACTCGTTTATTTCTTCATCCCAGCCTTCGCTCGTGTCATGAAACTCATAAAAGGGATGTCCAACCACCGCAAACTGCCAGTCGTGAAAGATCAGGTGCTGGGTTCCAGATCCATCTTCAGCTTCCTTCACGCCCATGTTTCGCTTGCCAAAGTCTCCATGTACTAGACACATGGGCAAATTATACTCAGCAAGTTCTTGTGCCATTTGAATTAACCCCAGCACAATTCTCTTAAAGCCAGAAATGTTAGCTCCAACGGCTTCGATGAAGGTTGGATCTGATTCCCAACCTTTTACAATGCCTTCTATATCAACTGGTCGAACCCGCCGCAATACTCCACCGGCAATAAGTCCCCTCCCTTTCACAGAAGATTCGCTCTGAATATCAAAGAGCGTTTCAAGTATAGTGCCACGGCTTGTTTCATCGCACCTGTCGAACTCGCGAGTGATAAAAGCCCGCAATTCCTCGTTAGTCGCAACCAAAGAGGCGGTGTGCTTCGGAAATATACGCGTCACAGCTGCAGTGATTTCAAGTTCTCGAGATCCAGGGCATACACCTTTCAGAAAAAAGCTTCCGTCACTCGAATCCACTGCAACGATAGCAGATGATGCACTCAACATATACTGGATGGGACGACATGTTGTATAGCTTCCTAAATTCTCGATTTCCCGTGTGAGCCAGGAAGCAGATTTTCGAAACCATCCTAGCTGGAAAGGAGGATTCGGGAGCAGCTCTTTCAAGCATTCTTCGCCACAGAGGGCTTCTTGCACTACACTGTAAGAAAAGCCAGCAGAAGGGTCAAAGTCTTCATGATGCGTGATGTTCTTTACGAACAAAAGGTCCTTCCACGAAAATCTCTGCGACAATTCACAGATCTCATCAACCTTCGTATTCGGCGCCGCCTCGATGAACAGAAGCTTGGCATGTCCGAGCTCGACCATGTCCTTCTGTCCACGCGGATGCATACATCCGGCTTCTCCCAACAGCTCAGCGACAGCAGTGAACAAAACGCTCTCTCCCTTGTAGCCAAGCTGCTTCTGGAGATCCATGCAACATCCCATCACATCATTGTTCAAACCCCCAGGCAGCAAAACGTAAGGCAAGTCCCAATGTAATCTATCCACTTCTTCCATCAACACTTTCTCCCTTCCTTCATCAAGAAGTAACAGGCGAACGTAACTAGTTTGCATTGATGGCGGTGATGGATCAAAATATATCAGTGACGAACTTCCTGGCTGTAGACTCTGTAGATCACGGTAGTCATGGTTATGTCATCAGGGAATCCCCTTGACTACCGCGCGCGTCTCTGTTGCAAACAGCCAAAGTTTCAGACCCCCACGAATGGTGGTGGTGTTTTTAGAGGCAGCTGAGAGCCAATTCTGACCCATTTTCCGCACATTCCGTTTGGTTCCATCCAGAGTTAAGGCAGTGCCGGAGATACGACACAGAAAATAAGACAAACCCGACAGGAGTTGTGGAATAAAGTCACAGCCTCCCCACTGCAATACAGCATACATATTATCTATGCCTCTCTGCCATCTCGACCAGCTGGACTGGACCACGGCTGAACGCCTTGCACTTGATGGGTTCAATCGCCCATCATCAATGCCGTGCATTAGCGGCGTGAAGATCTTCTAGGCATCCCGAAGTTCATCATGTCTCACAAACGCTGATCAATCCCCTCGCAAGACTTATGGCATGAGCCTGGTGTACACGTCGGGTGGATCGGAAAACTTGTCAGCGAATCGCGTCTTGTAGGACAAATCCAGCTCAGACATCGCAGGATTTCCTGCTCGACCCGGAGCCTTGATGTTCATCTTCATGTAAACAGTTTCGTTCGGCTGCAGACGCATCACGAGCTCGTTTCTCGAAAATGTAGACCCATTTCCAGTACTAGGGAACAATAGCGAAGATCCCGGGGCCCGCTTGAATTGAATACACACCTTCTGATTTGGTTTCGTCCAGTGCTTTGCCCCACCGTCATAATGCTCTTACAATGTGCCAACGGGGTAAAGCTGTTTATCTCAGCAAATCCTTTACGCGGATTAGACCTCGCTTGGGCATTGCGAAGTGGAGCTGCGTGGGAGTTCAAGAGGCCCGCGCTCGGACTCCAGGCTGGATTTCGTCGGGCACCGGCTTTCCGCTCATGGGCATCACCATATTAAGGATCTTCATCTTGCCTCAGATGAGGTCGCGTTTGCCGGATCACCGAAGTCGGATCTGGTGTTGCGGGCAACTTCGAGAAGACGCAAGCCAAGCAGAATGGGTTCAAACGGCCCGATATGAGGCAACTCTGGAAAGCAGCAGGCGCCCTATGCGAGCTTCCGTGCATGCAGCTGCTCACGCAAGCACGTGCATGTGTCGTCAGTGTGAAACCCCCCCGAAACTTTACTGTTCAAATTCAATCTTCATGCTAGAATATAAATGACCATCTCATCCCCGAGCAAGTCCTCGTCTTCTACGCCAGAGAGATATGCAGAGATTATTTCATCAGCCACTCTGGAAGCCGACGGCGGAGAGCCGCAATATTTTTGAGACGCTCCATGATTTCGTCGCTGACGGCTAGTCGTGGCCTCGGCTTCACAGTAGACTTCTTGCGCGTCGTTTTCGCCTTCTCCGCACTAGAGGTCATCTTCTCGGTAGTAGACGCCGCAGGGGGCTCGGACGCTTCTTTCGAAGACGCGTCGGTGGATGTTGCGGTGCTGGATGCCGACACCGTCGTCGTAGCGTCTGGAGGTAGGAGAATGACAACCTTCGCTTCTTCCTTCCGCTCGGGGCGTGCCTCTAAGAGTCCAGAATTATCAAGGACAGTGATTCTAGCAGCACCTCGTGTCACTGTGACGCGCTTCTTCGGTATTACGACAACAGGTGCTTCGCAAGTCAACGTGGGGGGTGCTCGGTTCACTTGAATCGGCGCAGAATTGAAATGCTCCGCAAACGCAGCAATGTCAGACTTGCCCATGCGATGACAGAAATCGTCAAATGCTTCTCCCGTTTTAGACTTCTGCTGATACATGGTCAGAACCGGTGTCAACGTGCCTTCCAGATCCGCATCCTTCACTATATCCAGATGCAGCCAAGCTAATCTTGTCCGATGGGGAGATCCCCCGAGCCATAAATGGTATGACTTCTGACCCAAACCAACAAACCCGAGTTCTGCCATGTAAGGTCGCGCACAGCAGTTAGGGCACCCCGTCATCCTCATGGTGACCGGCACATCAAGGCCATTGTTCCTGAGTAAAGAATCCATCCTTGCGATCATGTCAGGCATGACCCGTTCTGCTTCAGTTATTGCCAGCCCACACAAGGGCATCGCCGGACAAGCCATAGACAGCCGTTTGTAGATGAGATATTCATTCGCAGTTCTGACGTTGTGTTCTTTCAAAATAGCTTTAATACCGTTCTTCTGATCGGGAGTGATATTCTTCAAGATGATTTGTTCTGGTTCGGCGAAACCACCATGTCGAATTCATAGGCATCGATGATGCGGCGGAGGGCAGTTCTCAGCTTGAAATCAGCCTCGTCTTTGATACGGCCGTTTTCGATGAACAGGCCGAGAAATAGATTCCCGTCGCCTTGCTCATGCCACCCCAACCAGTCCATGTACCTCCAAGGTTGCATTTCTCGGAAAGACTCGAATGGTTCACCAAAGTAAGTTTCGACCAGGGTGCGGAACGAATCTATACCTAACTTGTCCACAAGGTTCTTCATTTGGCCCGGACGCTTCGATTACCGTGGTCCCGCTGAGTAGAGACAATAGCCTTAGACGCTTCCCACAACTTATCCGCCGGGACGTATCCGAGATGATCACCAGTGCGAGCAAACCTGGTGGCCTTCCGATGAGTTCGACCCATGCCACCTCTAACGATTATGTTGTACCAACAACTTTTCCAGTCGCATCGGGTATGCAAACAATTCCGATATCCTGGGTGTAAATGTCGATGGTATTATTACCGGGAACAGTGACCCCAATTTTGAACTTTCTTGGTAGGTAAGCTTCACCGTAAATGGGTTCTTCCTTGCCATTGTAGACGACTCCGTTGCCGTTATCAAAATGCATGATTTCTTGCACGGAATTCATGTCAAGATCCTCCTTCCAGAATTCCAGGCTGGCAGCCTTCTCCCCATCTTACCAAATCCCCTAGAAGGCCCCTGCCTGTGGGGCGAACAGCTCGACAAGCATAGCAGAAACAAAACGAGCGTTTTTATACAGCTCGCTAGTGAGAGGAGCTGGAGTGCACATTACGTTTCGAGATAAATCTCCGCATGCACCAATACAAGATCCACCTGCGTTCATGGTAGCGGAGAACATGGGCTTCAGGTCACTCTTGAGAACACCATGAATCTGTAGTGGCGCGAAGAGTGTTGTTGCCATATTTCGTTGAGATGTTTTCTAGAGCCTGATATAATTCGGCGGGAAACTCACCGGCGGGCATTTTGAGATTAAGCATGAACTGATACTTCTTCTGCTGGCCGCAGGCACGTTTGTCGCGGTCATCTTGCTGGTATGAGCCGTGCAACTTCATCTGGACGGCATTTTCGGTAATGAAAATTTCGTCATTCCACTATGGGGAAGCGCAACTGGTTCGAAGAAGTTTTTAATCCTTCGACCTTGGACAGCTTCTAAGGATGAGATGAATCTGCACGTGGCTTCGCGGTATCCGCAGGCTGTAAAAATTTGCCCAAGAAATGATCAAAAGTGGCGACAAGTGCGATGAACAAACATGTTAGCTAAGTGCAAACCAAGTCAAAAGTCCGATGCGAAAGGAAGGAAAAGAAATCTACTTGTCCGCGGTATGGTTTTACTAGAGCCGGAATTGACTAAGAGCATCTCCAGCGCTGCAGCTAAATCTATTCCAATTAGGACGCGTGTCAGTTTTCTAGCTGGTCGCTGTCTTTGGGCACCCCATGTTCCAAATTGTTTGCAATGCGCTATGCCGAATGCGCTGCTCGTCTCCATCGCGCGCACTCGTTAACCCGCAGGACGACATGGACTCTCTGGACGACTTTGGCGCCCTAAAACCGATGGCGTCGCTGGAGGCGGTCGAAGGCAGCGCCGCTGCGCAGGGGAATGACGAGTGCGACATTGAGGACTTCCTTACAGACGATGACGAGGATGACGTGATTTCGGATGCCTTTTGAGGACCAGCTGTTCTGTTTTTCGCGCCCACATGTAGTTGCTAGCTGGCTTCCCGCCACCCCAGGTGTTTCTACTGTGAGATTTAATCAGAATTAATGGTCGCGCGCCCTAATCAGCTTGTGACGAGCTCGTGGCAATCATCGCTTTGGGATATATCTCGTTGCAAATCGGCCTGATTTGCCACGAGAAAAACTCCAAACGCCGATTTAGAATTCGATTTACGATGCAATTTGCGTTCTTGTGTCGCGGTGGAGACCAAACTTTACCCTGACTTGGTAAATATCATATTTGGATCGAATTTGCTGCCGCGGTGGAGATGCTCTTAGAGCATCTCCACCGCGGCAGCAAATTTAAGCCGCTGCAACCAAGTCATAGAATATACAGTATGAAATCGCTCTACAGTCTCACGAAAGGGCATATGCGCCATTGATATGACGTGCCCAGAGTGCGAATGGGATAAGCAAATGCAGGACGAGGGCGGCCCGACGTGAGGAAACATCGAACGTCTCAACCCAAGATCGGCGTCTCGTCAAGCACACAACCCAGACTGATCGATTTGAGGGAAAACGCGCGCATGGAAAGGGCGTGCAGGACGAGAAGAGTGATGTGCAGACTTACCGTGATGACGGACGGGGACATATGGGGAAGCTGGGACGGGGAGGGAGGGGAGTGGGAGATAGGAAGATGGCCGCGTGTGAACGCCTAGGCCGTTGAAAACACTATAGGTCGGGCGCAAGTTGGAATCCGGTAGAAAGAAGGAGACTTCTGCCCAACGACGAAAACAAGATGCGGCGAGGCGCAAGTCTGGCTCGCGAGCATCCCCCAGACAACGACAAGCAAGCTCGAGATCCAGAACGCGAGCCTCATTGCGATCCCTTCTAGCCGAGAAGAGTCCAAACTCAGTGCCAGTGGGCGGCGTGAACAGCCTTGGCATGTCCTTGTTCTTCATGTGCGGCACCATCCAGCGCTGCCCGTTTCTTCTCCGAATGATCTTCTTCCTTTCCACCTGCTTGGCGTCCCCGCCCGCGTCCTTCTTCGACGTCTCCCCTTTCGCCTTGTTCTCGCCCCCCGCCTTCTCCTTCTCCGCATCCGTCTCCGGTTTTCCTTTGCCCTTTGCGGCTGTCTCCCCTTCATCAGCGATCATATCATATAGTGCTCGGGCCGAAGAAGCCTCCCCCACAGCACCTCTTTCTCCAGCAGGCCCGTGATATAGTGCTATGCCTCAGCCTCTTGCACAGGTTATCATAAGCCCACACGTGTATCATCTGGCATGGTTCAATGTTACGATATGGAGGTGCGGCGGCGGGAAAACATGGCGACGAGTGCTCACCTGTATCAGGATCAGCTTCAGTCAAGTAATGCCTGCGACAGCCCTGGTACAATTGGCGCTCTCCCCTTTCCCCCATTGTCTTTCAACCCATCACCACTTGATCCCTTATCAACAACCTCAATGTCGCCTATCAATAACGTTCAAGTTTCAGTTCGCCAACTCCCACAACATGCCCGCACACGACTCACTCTAAGTGAGAAAATTGAGGCGGGACGTTTGCTCAAACTCGGTCATTCAGCTGAGCATATCATGAAGAATTATCATGTGTCACGGCAAACTGTAACCAACATATCTTCAAACATTGACGCAATTATGAAGAAAGCGCAGGCAGCAAACGTGTCGATGCATACCAAGACGATGAGGTCTGCGCAATTTCCCAAGCTCGAAACACAAATTATGCATTTTATATCCCTTGCTCGCTCTGCTAATATGCCTGTCAATCATGCCATAATACCAGCCAAAGCATTATGCTTGAAAGAGGAATTTCTCAAGCAAGACATTTCTGTTGACGAAGCAAGTATGCTTGAAACTTTTACAGCTTCCCGGGGATGAACGGATAAATTCGCAAGGCGTCATTAGTTGCGTTCGGTAGCGCTCCATGGAGAAGCCGGAAGTGTTGACGTGACTGGTGTTGCTGCTGATATTGTAGCCTTGCGGGAAAAGCTTCGCGAGTATGAACCATCAAATATATATAACGTTGACGAGACGGGATTGTTTTTTAAACTTTTTCCCCGCAGAACTTACATTTGTACAAATGAGCACAAGAAGTCTGTACGTGGCACGAAAGCTATGAAGGCAAAGGATCGTATCACTGCGTATGTGGGTACGAACGCAGATGGTACATGTAAATTGCCTATGGAAATTATTGGAAAGCCTATGAATCCGAGATGCTTTAGGCTTGGGACATCACTTGTTCCGTATTTTAGTCGGGGCAACGCATGGTCCGACTCAGTGACATTCAATAAATGGCTTTATAATTTGTTTATACCCTTTGTGCGAAGCAAAACGTCCAAGCCAGTTGTTCTCCTCATGGATAACTGTGGTCCTCACGGCACAGATATCGTAGACCACATAGGACATATACAAATTATAACATTACCTCCTAACTGCACTGCTGTTCACCAGCCTATGGACTTGGGAATAATTGCGTCATGGAAGAGCAAGTATAGGCATTGCATGCTGAGGAAAATCGTTATGGATATAGAGCATCGACCTGAGAGGCGAGAGACAAATAAGGCGAAAAAGAGGGGCACGAGAGGTATTGGGGAAGGGTATGACCCCTACATGCTCGATGTCGCGGAGATGGTCTTTGACACGTGGAGGGAGGTCACACAGCAAACGATAGTTCGGTGTTGGAATAAAGCGGACATATTGCCGTTGGAAATGCAGGCCAGTTTGGCTGCGACACACGGGAAAATGCGCAGCAGTCCGCTGACAATTGAAAAAAGGCGTGCTGGATGACATAATTTCAATGATGAGATGTCTATCCATAAATATTTGTGAAACGGATCCGTTAGCGATATACAGGGACGAGGGATTGACCTGTGGCGCAGTTGAGGAGTGGATTGAGGTGGAGACACAGAGTACTACCCGTGAGGGAATTCTGAATGATGCCATGGATGATGCAGTCGAGCTGGATGGCACCCTTTACAATAACGAATCCGACTGCACCGACGATGATGTCGAATCAAATGACCAGAGGATGTTGTTACCGGTCCCAAATTCGTTGCAACTATCAGACATGTTTATCAACTTAGAATCTCTAGCGTACGAGTGGGATGTATCGGAAGCGGCTATGCACTTGAGGAAAGCCAAACAGGCCTTCATCTCTGCCCGGGCTCATGCCAAGAAACATGATACAAGACAAGCGGTCATAGATGACTTCTTTAAGATGTAAATATGTTACGGTTGGGCAGTGTTAATGGATTGTGTGTTGTTTCCAAATATATGGTTATGAGCCTGCTTTATATAGTGCCATCCCTCGAATAGTGCCATAGCTAGAAGTCTTTCACGCTATAGCACTATATCTTAGGAGGCACTGTACTGTATATAGGAGTTCCGCTGTCGCTCCTCCAGAGGGAGGAGGGGAGGACGGGAGGACGGATACTGTACCATGGGTACTGTTGCAGATACCAACTGCAAGCGTATTCGCAGTAAGACTTCCAAGTGTTCTTGGTTGAAATCTTCAGACCAAACTCCCAAAGAACAATCAAATAGGTAAACAAAGACAAAAGAAACAGCATTCACTTTAGTTCTGCACGTATCATAGAAACATATAACGTGCCTCCAGCCGCCACCTCAGGCGACAACAACGACGAACAGCCGTGCAACGAGCAACAGTCGCGACAAGACCGACGAGAGGCGACAGCAACTTCAGTAGCAAGCAGCTAAAATAGCGACACAACAGCCGCAGATTCCAGTTCCCATTCTCGTGCCCCCGATCGATGCCGCCTTTCCCTTTCGCGTTCCTGCCTACGCTCATATAGACTTCAGAAGCTCTACACTTTTCCCCTACAGTTTGCATCCCCCACAACGTTCCTCACAGCCCCTGTCTTCCTCCTCTCCAACGGACGGGGGCGTATCGATACCCGTTCGCGTCCTCGCCCCCACACAGCGTCCCCAGACTCGCCTTGCTCGAGCGGTTGGGAATTGTATCAGACTACGCTCTTCCGTCGCCCAGTCCGCATCCCAACGGTCTGCCGGCGGACAACATTGAGCCTCCGTTCAACGATTCTGTACTTCCTTGCACGGAGCTCACACCACCGTACAGTGTATACCAATCGGGATCATTTATCCGGGCAGATCTCGATCCTGAAACACCGGCCGTGAGATGCTGTGCCGCGCTCATCCAACAATACAACACACGTCCTTTGTCACGTCACATGCCATCGCTGTCCTGGTCACATCACGGGCCCACGCTGTCCTGGTCCGCAGTGCGGAGTTTGGGGTTCATATCAAAGATTGTTTGAGGCCAAATGGATGCAAGAGGGCTTTTCCCGGACGGACCATCTGCCCTAGATATCTGCTGATGAGCATCGGCTTGGTCCTTCGCATCAAACAGCCTGACCACCGTCTCAGGTAGATCCGATTCCTTTGTCCAATGTGGGATAACTCCTCTCCGCCCTGGGTTGGGTGAGAGGCGGAGGCTTTAGCGAGGGAGCACGCGGCGCGGACGCGACGCGCTAATTGAACTGATCGGACGAGCTCGCGAAAAGGGAGTGGCTCACTGGCCGGTTACGCGCAGTCGCCCCGTGGTGCATGAACGAGAGCGACCGGTAACGGGTTAGAAGCCAGCGCGCGTGATAGACAACCGAAACGGACGTTTATAGGCACGAAAGGGACGGGGGCGAGCTTGCCCCAGTTTACTGGTGGGGACGGGTGTCAGGTCTTAACCTCTCAGAGGGACGCCTCGGACATCTATCCCAGTACAGTAGTACAGTACCTGCCGCCTAGTGCGTGCCGCGTACTGTACACAATTAAAAAGCTAGCGCCATAATTACTACTACCGTACGGACGCTGCTACTACACGTCTGCACTACTGTACACGCGTGTTGCTTACAGACTACCACACGGACGACACGTGTGCTAACGCGCACACGTAACACGCGTAGACTACGGCACGGACGACACGTGTGCTACTGTACACGTGCGCCACGCCACGGCCGGTCGTTC